CGGCAGACAACTGCCTAGTTGAAGTGGTCCGTGAGGTGTAGATATGGATCGTCCACGCGCAAGTAGATCACTTTGCCGAGCAGTTTTGCAAGGTTCTTCTGCCCGGTTGAGAGAACTGAATGTTTGAAGTGTGTTTTAGATATCACGTCAACAAGAAGCCTTCAGGCTTGTCAGGCAGCAACTGCTCTCTCTCCCTGGCTGCCACACGAAATCTGCTAAGGCAGCTTTAGGGGTATCTGAGGCTTACCTGCCCAGCCAGAGACAAGCCTTTGGCTCATATGCTGTAGCGCGACTGACTAACCCACTACTATACTTCGAGAAGCATGCCACATAAGAAATTTCCACGGGGGAGAAATCCTATGCAGGTTACCCTTGTATATCCTCAAGATGAATGCAGCTGGTGTCTTGGCCTTGTAGGCCATGTCTATCCATTAGCCTGCAAGCTTAGTTGCGCAAAAGCTGCCATCGGAGTGCCTGTTTAGGGGTAGAAGACATAAATTATTTGTATGGGCTTCTGCAGGTGCCTTCAATTTTCCACGTGACCGTCCTTCCACAGTGAGAATTAAACTGGTTAAGATTACAAATGCTCTAAATGCACAAATTCCTGCCCGACCTTCACACAGGATACACAGTTAAAACTTCTACATCTTCTGCGTTTTGTTCTAAACACAACGCATGCTAGTCTTTACGAGTTCAAAATGCACTATTTCCCGCCAGATGCTCAATGTAAATAGAATTAGAAGTTCTGAGCTTATTAGTGACGTCGTGAAGTGAATCTTATGCAGTCGTGTAGCTCGTCTGGACGTCCGCACTCCCTGCAGTGCAGTGTTGCATACGCATATCGGTGCAAGAAAACCAAAAGCGTACAATTACTATATTCGGTAAGGCTAACTCGAAGCGAAGTACTGCTCGGCCCCAAAGCGAGCATAGGGGCGCAACGCGTAGATGAAATGAGCCTGTTCTGCACAGCTTCTATACGCAATCCCTGGCTACATGTACAGCATTTGCAGTGGGGATTTCCAAGCTTTCCTTCGCAAGTTTTCTGCGGCAAGGTGCAGCAATCGTTGGCTGGCTGGCAGCCGAACGCATTCCGAGCTTTGAAGCAATGACGGGAAAATGTAATTTCATGATTAGCTATTAACAATGGGAATTCTAGCATTCAGCGTCAGAGGCAAATGTCCTGCTTTTCACTATTTTAGACTTCCCGTGTGTGTGTATACTACTGCGTAGAGGAGAAATATCAATTTCATACAGGCGAACGTTACGAGCGCTGTTCGACCCAGCAGTACGATCCTGAGGCAACAAGTTGTCGTTCACACCCCACGAATTG